GACGTGAAAGGAATTTCTGCTTGGAAATACAATACTTGTGCCAGAATACAGTGTTTGACCTTTTGGGCTGCTAACTATTTGAAAAATGCTTGGTAATGCTAAGACAATTCTGATTCCGGGATATTCCTACTGTTTTACTTGCTACCTAAGGTTTTGTGCAATTCATCTGAGTTGAGTGCCTTGAAGGCAGTGGGCGCATGTTTGTTCTTGTAGATAAGGAATGAGAAGTGCCCACACTTCTGGCTCTTCTTCCATTTGAAGTACTGCTACAGAATTCTATTTGAATAGAGAAACTCGTCTTTTTCTTACAGCATAATTTGAGTTTCTTGAGGCAGGTGAGTCCAAGAGTAGGAGAGATTCTAGTGAAGCTTTTTTAAGCAAGCCTTTCTGCTGTAACTGCTGAGGTGGAAAAATAGAGCAAATTCTTAAGCCGTGCTGGATCAGTGACTGGAAGCTGAAGAATTGTTGGTTAATTTTTCCTTCTTTAGCTCTTCATGACAATATTTGAATGGTCTAGCCAGAGCCTTCCCATATGTAGAAGTTTCTGGCCCTGTTGTGGGGTCTCAGAATTGTAGCATCCATCACATTCTATTTGAAACACTGAAATTTCAGATGCTTGTGCATTTGACACAGAGGCAAGATTGGACTTGTCTCTAGGAAGGCAGCATCTTCTTAAAGCTGCTACTTGCTACTTGATTGCAGTGCAGTGTGCAGCTGCTTGAAGGAGAAGACAAAGCTAACCTCATTAAAATCACTGGATAATTCAATCTTCGACCTAAGCATGCAGAAGGCATTTCCCAGTTCTCTCTCTTGAAATATACCTGAGAGTGTGTGCTTGAGGAATCTCCTACATAAGCACGCTAACTCACAGCCAAGTAACATTTATCAAGTAACAAAACTTTTGCAGAAGCAAAAAAGATGTATAATTCTAGAAATACAAAAGGAGGAAATCTCTTGAGAACAGTAGAGTAAAACATGTTCTAAGGAATTCAAATGACAGGGATGCAAGCCAGTGCCAAATGTGAAATGTCTGGGTTGCTTCTGAAACTGCCTGAAGCAGCTTCTGATCTGTGCACTAGAAGTGCTGCTAAGTTTATACTGACTTACAGTGGCAGTAACTGAAACTGTGTTATTTGTACTGGTAATTATATTCAGTTCCTTTTCTTACAGTTACTTCATTGAAGAATGAAATAGAGTTAATCTTTTGAAGATTTTTGTTGAAACAGAAGTCTATTAAACTATCTTACCTGGCTGCTGCAATAAGAGGATATGCAATTAATTTAGTAATCTGACTTTTTTAGTAATGAACCATAGAAAATGGCTTAGTTTTATTTGAAAAATTAATGTTTTGCATTAGTGATTTAAGTATTTGCTGTTTGTAGTGGGTTGTTTTATCATCTCCCATTGCATACATCACTTCACCTTTGTTCTATATGTTTGCCTCTTAAAAATCGTTCCTTAACATGTTCCTCTTTACTTCTATTTGTCATTTCATTCAACTTAATGTGAAGAAAAAATAATTAGAAAATAAAATTTAAGCTACTATAGCCCTAACATTGCATTTTTCATCCCCGTATCATTGTTCCTGTGTGTGATAGTCCTCTCTTGCTCTGCCTAAAGGAAAATTATATAATGCATGGCACAGATTTCCACTTAATGGCTGGCCAAAGGTACCACCGTAATAGTTGCAAGTGACAGTGGAAGAATTCTAGCCATCAGCCATTTATTTGGAAAAGAATTTTCCCTTAGGCCTTGTAGTCTGTTACAAAAGAGGGGACAAAATAGAAAAAATACAAAAGCTAGTGCTCACAGGAAGGTAATTCAGAATTGGTGTTAGAGCGAGTTGTGTTCTTGTTGCTCACATTTTAACATTTAATTTAAATTATTGATAAGTAGGTATTTAGTGCAGTCTCACTCTTCCTTAAGTACTTAATTGAAGAAATTGACTCCAGTTTTGCTAGTGGAAAAAATGCTCACAAATGGAAATAAATTGCATGGAACTGAACTGAGAGGCCACTCTGACCCTCATGGAATCTTTGTTTCAAGTCGGTGTGTGGAACTTTCAGGATTCTTGCAAAATCTATACTGCTTTGGGAGCACATGCAGATTTAATACAGACATAAGCTGCAGAAAGGCAAACAAGTTTTTCTAATTTTTGGATTCATGCTTCTTAGTTCACTGTTCTTCTGTGATGATGCTAAAGTAGCAGGTAGCAACCAATGGAAAAGTGTGAGGTTTGAGTTTTGATTGTATCCGAAGGCTTCTTTGGTGAGTAAAGATGCATTTCCACCAGTAATAAGTAGGTGTAGTCTCTCCAGTATTTGGGCCCAGCTGTACAACTAGATCCATCCTTGTCATAGCAGAACAGGAGATTTGTTGATTAGTTCTATGAAGCAGCCTATGGACCAGACTTAAGATACTTTTCATAATGACTTATATTTTCTCAGATGCATGGGAAGGACAAATGTGAATTTTTTTTTCTGTGAGAGTGCTGTTTGAAATTAATCAGGATGAGTACTGTGTTATTTCCAAGTATTTCAGTTTGACTTCTGTTCTTCAGGAATTCTAACATGATTTTTATGAAGAATGATGCGTTGCTTCGAAATGATGGAATACTTTACGATGGAAGTGATGATTTTAGCATACAGATTAGTTCTATGAAGCAGCCTATGGACCAGAAAGCATCTTCCTAAGTTGCTAGGAAGAGACTGAGGCAAAACAGCATCAAAATAAAAAAGAAAATAAAAAATTTTGTGAATCATGAGAAACATGATACTGTTTTCATCAAGAATACCTATAATACTTTAATCACCGGTCTCGCAGTTTTATAGTTGTTGCTTTTACTGAATCCTTGCAGTGTTTTTCAGATCCTTGCAGTGTTTTCTCAAACCAGCTTTCCTCATAAAAAAAAAAAAACAAACTCCAGCACTGGAGCGTAGAACCCAAAACCACAAGAGATTTCTGAATGTGGAAGATCTTGGCGTTTGTGAAGACTTGGTGTCACTTGGTATTGTCAGTCACCTCAAGATTAGAGGTTTTCCTTTCACTTCTGCTGTACGCTGACTTGTGACCCTTCTGTATGGTACTGCCTGTCCTTTGCCCACTGCTGGCAGTGGGTCATCACTACACGGGGACAAAACAGGGAGTAAAATCATTTGTAAGCCTGGAAACAGCCACCAGCTCTGACCCAAGGCAGAGTCTGGCTGCATGTGTACCTAGAAGTCAGGAAATGTTCTTTTTAGGGGTAGCATGGTCTCTATCCAGTTGTACACTCAATTTGCTTGCAGTAGAAGAAAAACTGGTACTTAACACTTGGCAATCTGGCTTCTAAAGGTGAAGGGGTCTTTTTCTCCCTTCACACAGCTCACTTGAGATCTAGCGAAACGGAGAGATACTTAAGTTTGTTAACAGTCAGATGAAGATAAGTGTGGGAATACTCTGAAGTTGTGGTGAAAAGCAGCAAGGAAACAGCACTCTGTGTGTGTACTAGAGCCCTGCTGCAGTGGCTGCTGACTTCAGCATGTAAGTTCATTTCAGGGAAGACAGTCTTCAAAGACATTCTGAGAGTGCTGGAGGTTTCTTGTAGAAAACACATCTGAGGCCAGGGAACAGCTTAATGCAGTTATTTGCCTCTGTCCATGTACTTGTGATTTCTTACTGTTTCTTTATAATCTGGCAATGATTTGAAGTCTAGTAATTTTTTATTGTATTTGATGAGATTTTTGTTACCAGAAAACTCTCATGAGGTTTGCCCAGAGTTTTCTAGAACGTGTATATCTGCTTATACATTTTATTATGTTTTTTGAGACATTTACATTGGCTGCATGTGACTTGAGCCTGGCACCTCTGCTCTTTCAAACACCATTTCTTGCCTATGGTGCTGCTTTGGTCTTCTGGAACAAAGTTGATTTCTTTCTCCTTCCTGCTCCTCCCCAAGTGCATCATGAAGTGCTGCTTTGACAAATCCTACTTCTGTAATTCTGCTCTCTCCACATTTTACTCTTGTAACCACATATTTTTAATTAGGATCGTCTTATTTTTCATCTTTTTTACCTCTTGATTTAGGTTTTTACAACCTGTAAGTTTGACTTGATTGGTTAATGTAGCTGTTATCCTATTACGTTTACAGCCAGATCTCATTTTTCAAGATCTCATTTTCCCTTCAGCGTTTTGGGTAGATGAACATGGGTCATAGTTCTTCCTTTGTTAGTACTGTTCTTGTTTCATTAAGAGGCTTTATCTGCTCGCTAAGTGTGGCAGGCACGTCTCAGATGTTGCAACAAAACAGGCTGAATGATAAAATGCTTAAAAATCCAAAGTGACACTTGTAAGCCATGGATTTGCTTCTGGAATAGTTCTTTGTCATGAAAAGATAATATAAATAAGATAGATACTGACACTTGTAAATTTCAATCTTTAGTAGTGCGAGACTAAAACTAAGAATGAACTTTGAGTCTTTAGCTTTGGAATGAGTAATGATACTGTGGACAAGGTATGGTTTCAGAAGGTGTTTGCCTTAATCTTTAGAGGGTACATAAAAGGGATGCACTCAGTATTCCAAGCAGCAATGCCTTCTTAATAATAAAATAATAGTTCTTTAGTAGTACCTGTCATTTGCTAGAAAACTAAAGCAGCCTGGCCCGTATCTTCATTATTGTGCCCATCCTTTTCCAAAGCACCTTGTTTCAGTTGGTTCTTAATAAATACTACTTTTAAAGTGTAACTTGTGAAGGATACTGATCAAATACACTTCCCCCTGCAAATATGCTGCCAAAGATTACACCTGCTTTCTGCAATATCCCCAGTTAAAACGTGATCAAAGATACTCTGTGAAAGTGAAATTAAGTTATATGATGATATCTACAGTTGTTTGTTTTTTTTTTTAATTGAGAAATTCTTTTAGAATAGCTTCTCAAATTTTGCCCAGGTATTTTTTCAGTGTGTTAATGTACATATAAACAGCAGTAAAGCTGAAGTTAAGTTGCTATTTTTATATGCAGGTCTCTACAATCCAAGAACTTGTTACTGGTTACGAAGCCTCTTTGAGAACATGTGACCTTTTTGGTCCATGTGGTAAGTTTCTATGTATTGATTCTTGTCTTCATGATGATGTAATTACTGTTTATGGCAGCTAAGAAGAATTGTTGTAACGCTGAAACTTATTTTGCAAGAGAAGGATGTAATAAATTAATGTTTAGTAAATGAAAGCATTATAGGAAATACCTGATGAATTTGCTACGATTTTTTTTTTGTATGTTTTTCAAGTGCTGTGTTCAGTCTTAATTTGTTTCTGTTTTGTTCCAGAAAATGGAGAGAGAGAGCCCCCAACGACGCTGCTCTGGGTTCGGTATTTCCTGGCACAGCACTTTGACAAACTTGGCCAGTGTTCTTTGGCCTTGGATTACATTAATGCTGCAATTGCAAGCACTCCAACATTAATAGAACTATTCTACTTAAAAGCAAAAATTTACAAGGTAAAAAGTGAATTTGGACATGTGGAGTATACAGCTTTTAAATTAAAAAAAAGAAAAAAAGAAAAACAAAGAAGTCCCATGAAACTGGTGTGAATGTGTGGATAGCACAGTGAGTATTGACTTTCATGTAGGTTTCTCCTTGTGCACTGAGCAGTCAGTCAGAAAATGAAAACCCCTCTTCTCTGCTGAGATTTGCGAAAGTGAGTCGCAGCTTAAAGCAAATCGTTGATGTTCTTAAAAAATATTTATAAATGTGGTTGAGAATGAAGGGGGACAAGCAGAGGAATATTGTCTCTGTTACTTCTGAAAGAGAGATGCCAGTAATTGTAGATTTCAAGAGTTGGTCAATATAAAGTTTATCTTGAAATTTAGTTATTAAATTTCTCCATAACTACTTTCTTCCAACAGCATGTAGGTAACCTGAAGGAAGCTGCCAAATGGATGGATGAAGCACAATCTTTGGATACTGCTGACAGATTTATCAATTCTAAATGTGCTAAATACATGCTGCGAGCCAATATGGTGAAGGATGCAGAAGAGATGTGTTCTAAATTCACTAGGGTAAGTTTCCTGTTATAATGAAGGGAGGTTTTGTTTGCTTTTGGCAGTTCTTGTTTAACTTTGCTAATGTAAGTCTTAATTTTTTACTAAGATCAGGAAGTTATCTTTTTTCAAGTGTCCGTTTTTAAAATAATGCGTGTCATAGCTTGCACTTAGTGATAAATAACTGTCAAGAGCCAGTAAATTGTGAGAAAATGGTTATTCAGAGGTACTTGTCCAGAAGTACTTCTGTAGTGACATACTTCTGAAGTACCTCTCTGAAAATGGCCCTGGTGAATACCTTGTTTGCAAAATCTGCCATTTTATAATTTGAGCTAACTGCACAGGAATGTGCAAGCTATTACATTCATTATGACTCAATTATATTACATAGATGTAATTTGGACTTGAACATTTCATTGAAACTAGTGCTACAGACTACAGTTTTATAAGGCAGTTCCATTTATAAAAAGCAGGGCAAACAGTTTAAATGTGGTAATAGTTTTTTATATTCATATAAAATTCAGGTTCATCAAGTCTGGGTTTCCATATTATTTGTGTAACTGACTATGAAAGACAGCTACTTGGTGGGGTTTCCTAAAACACGTATGCAAGTTAGGCTCTTTAATTCTTCTTAAGTGTGAAAAAACTTGAATGTGAATCCAAGCTTCCTTGGTATTTTTGGGAGCCATTTGAAACTTGACTGCTAAAGCTCAGTGGGATTGAGTATGCTCCCTGCAAGCTTGACAACACTAAGCTGAGTGATGCTCTTGATACAAGGGATGAGATCCAAGCTTGAAAAGTGGGCCCACGTGAACCTAATGAGGTTCAACAAGGCCATGAGCAAGGTGTTGCACGTGAGTCGCAGTAATCCCAGTTGTGTACAGACTGAGAGAATTCCTTCCCTGCAAGGGTGCTCTCGAGGACTTGGGAGTTCTGGTGGTGATAAACTTGATACAAACATTGTGCACTTGCAGCCCAAAAAGCCAACTGTATCCTGGACTGCATCAAAAGAGGGGTGGCCAGCAGGATGATGGGACGGGTTGTCTCCCTCCAGTCTGCCCTTGTGAGGACCCCCCTGGAGTACTGCATTCAGGCCTGGGGTCCCCAGCACAAGAAAGATATGGAGATGTTGGAGGTCCAGAGGAGAGCCACAGAGATGATTGAGAGGATCGGAGCACCTCTCCTATGAAGACAGGCTCAGGCTCCCTCCTAGAATTTAAAGGGAGCTTATGAACAGGGAGGAGACTGACTTCTTACATGGTCTGATACCAGTAGGACAATGGGAATAGTTTTAAAATTTAGAAAAAAAAGAAAAAAAGGGAGATTTAGATTAAATGTTATATTAGGATGAAATTTTTCACTGAGAATGGGATGAAGAACTGGGACGAGTTGCCTAGAGAAGTTGTGGATTCCCCATCCTTGGATGCATTCAAAACTAGGTTGGATGAGGCCCTGGTTAGCCAGATATAATGGGATGCAACCCTGTCCACAGTAAGAGGATTAAAACTAGGTCTTACAGGACCCTTCCAACCCAAGCCATTCTGGCATTCTGTGAAGTCACTGTATATGATTGTGTGAAGGCAAGGGCAAGAAGTGAGTAGATACCAGTAGTAAGATAGGATAGATCTGTTCCTAAATATTTAAACATAATGAATTGAATGGGATTTTCTTTGTGTTGTCATAAATGTTCTGATTTCAGTGACTGGAATTCTTGATATTTGGATTGTGCTTCCAGTTTGTTCTCAATCTTGAATATTAAATATATAAAGAATGCTTCCCATGAAAAAGCATGAAGTATGAATCCAAACAGGTTTTGTCGGGCTAACAAGTTCTAGTCGTGTTTGAAAAAAGATGGTAAACTCTAATGGCAAAAAGTGATAATAGCACTTATTTCAGGAAGGGACTTCTGCTATGGAAAACCTAAATGAGATGCAGTGTATGTGGTTCCAGACTGAATGTGCTGCAGCTTATCAAAGGCTAGGGAAATACGGTGAAGCCTTGAAAAAGTGTCACGAAGTAGAAAGGGTAAGTAGGTAAAAACACTTTATTTTATTCCTGTTAATAAAGATATTTGCAGCTGTAAACAGCACAATTTTCTTTGCATACAAGTTTTCTAAAAGTTTCTAACGCAGGTTAATTCTTGGTGATTTATTGTAATAGCTAAGGATGGCATCTGTTATCTGTTATGTGTAAAACTATTGTGGAATAGTGAAAAGGATTCAGTATAAAATGTTGTCTCTTACCTACTACTTCTGCACTAACTTCATGCTGTCTTTTTGCTAATTGTTTTTTAATGAGAGCAATCATATTTCAATTGGCTTTTAAAGAGTGCCTAAGCCTTTGAACATTATCATTATAGTTTTTGCAAACAAAATGAGATTTTCCTGGGTTTATTCTTCCTACTGACAGATTCTCTTGGATGGTCAGTATTGTAAGAATAGTTCTATGCTTGTTAAATAATGCCTATAGTATCAGTTATAATTTTATCTCCATTTATATTAAAAATAGAGTAAGCCAGGGAAATGCCTTAGACTTGGTTTCCTTTTTTTCCCCTCCTTGAAGCATTTTTTTGAGATAACGGATGATCAATTTGACTTCCACACATACTGCATGAGAAAGATGACTCTTCGTGCCTATGTAGACCTTTTGAGATTAGAAGATGTGCTCAGGAAACATGCCTTCTACTTCAAAGCTGCTCGATCAGCAATTGAAATCTACTTGAAGCTTCATGATAATCCTCTTACCAATGAAAGCAAAGAACAAGAAGTGAATTCAGGTATCTAGACTATAACGGAGGCTCATATGTGTATGAAAAGTAAAAGCTTTTTAAGCTATATAAGTTATGTGCTATAGAATCAGTGAGTTGTAACATAAATGCCTTGTTCCATTTCTGTTGCTTATTATTTGATCAGTAACTGGAAAGAAATCATAGATAACATAGTACAGCTTTTTTTTTCCCCTCTATTCTCCCCACATCATATTGTAAAACCAGTGTGTGAATGAACCTAGCTGCAGCTAGAGTATTTCAGAGAGGAATAGTATTTCAGAACCATAAGAGGAAAATCAAATTGAATTCAGCCATTTATGCATTTAAACAGAAGATAAGTGTCAATAACTGGTGAATTATGAAACATAATGGGTAGATATGGTGGGAAAGCAGTCTGACTTGCTGTAAGAATTATATTTTAACATGTATTTAATCTTTATAGATTTGGTAGTGTTACATTATAGTGATACTAGTTAGCATTGCATTACATGTATCATTTTTCATGTAATTTTGGGGCCAAAAAATACATGGACAAGTGTGTATTAGCACAAGCAATACACTTGTGAATTCATTTGAAACTAGTCTGTAATGAGGATGCGGATTCCCTTTGGAAATCAGTTGTGCATGGCATGAATGTCAGAGTATTCAGTGACAAGTGATTTATGAGGATTTTTTTTTTTTATCTTAAGAAAGTAGTTGCTTGTTCTTTTGTGGAGTCTTTATGACTGTCAACTCTGCAGTAGTAGACAAAAGAGATTAAATTAACACTTACTTTTTGCAAAGGGAAGGATATTTGACATGGAAATTAAAAAACAACAACAACAACAATGTGGAGTTAAACCCAAAAGCCTTTTATGTTGCCTTTTATTGAGTCTTTTCTTTTACTGAGGTGAATGAGTTCTTTCCCTCTTTATTTATGTGTATGAAGCACACACAAAAAGAGTCACACCTCACAGCACAGTTCAACTTGCATCATTTTCCACTCTGCCTTTAATTTTGATTCTGTATATAATATAGCAGTATTTAATAAAAATTAAAGTGAGGAAGATTGTTAAATCACGTAGTTAATATTCGTGTTGCAATTTAGTAGACTTATCCACAGGGGAAGAAAAAAAAGAGACAAAACATTTTTCTCCTTGCTCCACCATCTTAGTGGTGGCTGGCCCCAGGATGGGCCCAGTAGATGTGATGCCATTGCCACAAAAAACATGCATGTCCCTCAGTAGCTTGTTCTTCTGTTCCTTGCCACATTATTTGTGCAAATCCTGTTGTCTGTGAAATATGACAGAAGGCCAAGTGGAAATGAGTGTAATTCCAGCTGAAGTGGGAGTGGGGAAGAGTGAAGGCTTCTCGCTTCTGTATGAGCCTGTAGGAAATCATGTTTTTTGTGTATTCTTCATTTTTAAATCTGAACCCATCAAACAGCATGAAGTCTCCTATAATGGCAGTATTTAACACATACCAGAAATTCTACCTCGAAACTGCACTGGTTGCTTGCATCCATTTAGCTATAATGATGATATGTAGAAAACGAAGGCTGTTATCAAGGCTGTATATGGATCAGGCACGTAATGAAAGGTAGCAGGCTTGTTTGAATTTGAAATGCAAATCAGTCAGGATGCTTTAGTCAGAAAGTTGGAAAGAAGCTGAGCCAGAGTCAACACATGAGCTCAGTATTACCTTTCAAAGTCATTATTCATTTTCTATGACAAAATCTGTCACGTGGATTTAACAACTTCCTGTAGTTAATCTTTCAAGTAGCTGAGGCTTTTTTTTAACAATTTTCGTAGGGTAAATAAACAAGATCAAGTGTTGTGTTGTAACCCAGTAGTAAAGTTGGATGCTGCAGTGATATGATGCCCTGGCAAATAAAAGTACATTGAAATGGATGGAAGAGCATAGTGGCATTCCTGAGGGCTGATTGAGACACACATCTTAATGAAACAATTACTGTGTTTGTTACTTCATCTGTAGAAAATCTCTCAGCCAAAGAACTGAAGAAGATGCTTAGCAAGCAAAGAAGAGCACAGAAGAAAGCAAAACTTGAAGAGGAAAGAAAGCATGCAGAAAGAGAGAGACAGCAAAAGAATCAAAAGAAAAAGCGAGATGAAGAGGAAGAGGAAACTAGTGGACCTAGGGAAGAACTAGTTCCTGAAAAACTGGAAAGGGTTAGCATGGAGTCTTTGTTACCTTTGGGTCATTATCTTAACAAACCTATAATACAGATAGATTGATACAGTTTTTCTAAAATAGTCCATCAATTTATGTGTGCAAAGATGCCTTTTATTTATAGGCTACTTATACTGAAGAGTGATAATTTTTTTCTGATAAATTGAAATTCTATGTTTATATTATTGCTTTAAATCTTGATTCTTCCAAAAGATTCTGACCAAAAAGATGATTCTTGCCCAAAGCACTGTTAGTTTTCATACAGCGAAAAGAAAGAAGTTAACAGAAATGACTGCAGTCCACAGAGTATGAAAACAAAGCCAGTATTTCCTTAAGCACAAAGAATTTCCCTTTATCAAAGTAACTTCAGAAGCTTAAACTTTTTGCCTGAGGTGGTCATATTTTCTTTTTAACTGCTAACTTAGACCATAACCTATTGCACTACATGAGTGGTGCCAGAGTTAGCACTGCTGTTGCCTTTGTCAATATGAAGTCATGAGTACACACTTTGAAATCTTAGCTTTCTGAATTTTGTTTGAATAGTGCTTGCACACTTCACCTTTGGCCTCTGATTGTTTAAATGCTCCGAAGAACAAACTATTATTGGTAGATTGTGTCAGACCTTTATTTGTATTCTTTACTTTCATTGTGTGTTTGTTAACAGGCAGAAAATCCATTAGAAGAAGCCATTAAATTCCTTATTCCACTTAAGAATCTTATTGGAGATAACATAGACACCCATTTATTAGCATTTGAAATATACTTTAGAAAAGGTAAAGTATCACTTATTTTTGCTCTACACATTTTTAATTCTTCACTGTGACCTATGTTATTTGACTGTTACAGAATCACAGAATCCTTAGAGTTGGAAGGAGCCTCTGAGGGCCACCTGGTCCAATTCCCCTGTTGACTGTTGTCTAAAATATCCTGAAACAGATAATTCCTTAACTGACTGAAGCAGGGACCTATGTGATATCCAGAAACTGTGGGGCATATACAATACAAAATGCTAAGAGGAAAATAAGTGTTAGCATACCCTGATGAATGCTATAGGAATATATCTGTAGTGTAGTCCTTAGGGGAACACAAAAGCAAACAGAAGCATTATCAGTTTTGTCAGTTTGATCTTTAGGAATTTCTGTATCCTTAAGAAGGTTAAGTGCAAAAAGTAAATCTTTCTGATTTCTCTGTAGATCTTGATATTTCTAATGTTTTTACCAGATTTACTAAATAAAACAGTAGCTAACACAGAGAACTAAAAGAAGTTGCATGTTTTCAATCTCAACGTGGTTTTGTTTTTTTTCCCTTCCCACAGGAAAGTTTCTGTTAATGTTACAGTCTGTCAAAAGAGCTTTTGCTATCAACAGTAATAATCCATGGCTTCATGAGTGCTTGATTAAATTCTCTAAAGCTGGTATGTGTATAGGAAGTACGTACATATGTATGTATAAGGATATAGGAGGTAATGTGAATGAATACATAAATACATGTTTTTGTCATGTGTAAATATACTCTTGAAACACAAACTAAAGTCAAGACAAAAATGAATGGTTTGTTTTTCTAGGCAATACCTAAGAAAGCACAGGCTGTGCTGTGCAGGGTAAAATATAGATGAATTTTACGTACTTCTTTCTGCATTAATCCAGCAGGTGGACCCAGTAAGTCACTGGTTAGATTTCACAGAGAAGTAGGTGTTCCAGAGTCCCTTGAAATTCCTAAACGTTTTAACAAAGCAAGTATCAAATATGAGAGAGAGATTCTGACTAAGTGAAGTATGTGCTGTGAGCTTTGTGTGTTAGGTAGCAGAAAATACACGTAGCAGAGAGCTTGTATGAGTAATTCATATATAAATGCATCTGTAATGCATTTATAGAGCTAAAATGAAATTGTGCAAATGCATGTTTTTCTTTTTACGTGCAACTACTTTGATTTTTAGAAGCCTATTAATAAATAATATAAAAAACAAATTATGAAGAATAGAAACTGAACAAGCACTATAGAGTTTATAAATTTCTTAAATCACAGAATCATAGAATGGCCTGGGTTGAAAAGGACCACAATGATCATCTGGTTTCAACCCCCTGCTATGTGCAGAGTTGTCAACCAGCAGACCAGGCTGCCCAGAGCCACATCCAGCCTGGCCTTGAATGCCTCCAGGGATGGGGCATCCACAACCTCTTGGGCAACCTGTTCCAGTGCGTCACCACCCTCTGGGTGAAAAAACTTCCTCCTAATATCCAACCTAAACCTCCCTTGTCTCTGTTAAAAGCCATTCCCCCTTGTCCCATCAGTATCCACCCTTGTAAACAGTCTTTCTTCCTCCTGTTCATACACTCCCTTCAAATATTGGAAGGCCACAATGAGATCTCCCCAGAAGAAGCACTAACAAACCAAGTGTTTCCTTTTGTCGTATATATCAGCTTATCAGATTTAAATGTGAAGTCTTAAATGTTCTAGGATGATAAACTATACGTAAGGCTATAAAGACAAACTGGTTGAATATTTCTTGCTGACTTCATTCACAGATAGGTGATTGAAAATCACTCTGACTAGTAGCATATGTTTTCATCAGAACATGTATGTGTTTGCAACAAACATGTTTCAAAATGTAATCATTCTGACAGATTTGTTTTCTGTATACCGAAGTGCTGACTTACAATGCTGTTGATCTGAGATTTGTTTCTGGGCACAGATTTGTGAATTAGAAAAGAAAGTTTTGCAGTGATGTGTGTTGTTTCACATTGTTTTCTACAGTTGTCTAATAGTATTTTTTTTTCCCACCTCTCCCTCTTACCCTGCCCCTTTCCAGTTTCTGACCACAGTAACCTCCCAGAAATTGTGAGCAAGGTCCTAACTCAAGAAATGCAGAAAATCTTTGTCAATAAAAATTTGGAAAGTTTTAATGAGGAGTTTCTCAAACACAATGCTACCTCCATTCAGCACCAACTTTCAGGTTTGTTTAACTTTCCAATGCTTTTGCAAACATGTTGATTTCAGTGATTCATGTTACCAATCAATTTCTTCATTATACATCAGTTGGAAAGAGACAGAAACTTGCCTGTTTACTTTTTTTCTCTGCCTGCTTGTACCACTTAAAGCAAACAAAACAAAACAAAACCCCACACAACTTACTCACTTTGTGCCTTAGATGCATAAGGAACCTGCTGCTTACCTCTCTGAAGTAGCAGAACACCTGTAGTGGATTTGATAGCTTAAGCATGGAAGCAATGTCATCTCTTCTGTTTCAGCTTTTAATGTTGAAATAATTAGAAAATATAAAGCAAAACAAGAACGTCTAGCAAATGTAATTATAAAAATCTTACATGTCAAAAGCAGTGTTTTTCCTCCTCTTTTCTGTTCAACTGGAATGTCTCAGGGATATTGTCACAACTTTGTCAAGTAGCAATAGCATGAATAAAAATAGAAGGACAAACTTCTTTTTCTGCTCACTAGGCAACAGTGAAAACATGCAAACATGACAAATTCATATTACTTCTGTAGAAAAGTTATGAGCAGCTGCTGGATTTGAGAAAACTTGATTATTTTTTTTTTTTCTTCAATTTCCAGTACTAATCTCACTTAGTTTGCAAAAGTTATCCAAGCTCTGCCAGGGTTCACTGGAGAAAGTTAGCTCCAGAGGGCCAATGGCCTGGCTTAGAGGAGGAGTTTGGGGTAAGTCATCCCAAGCTTAGAAGAGCTCTGTTTCAGAACAGCACCTTGGGAGAAATACTATCACCCTTTTCCCTTTGAGCAGGTTCAGGTGTTGGGAAGTCAAGTACAGGTGTCTCAGCAGATGTTTGCTCCTGATTCTTTCAGATGTGGTGTTCTACTCTTTGCATCGTTAGGCGTCTTACTGGATGTTTTCCAGGTTCTACTTTCTCTTTGCATTTTATTATGGAAATATGTTTATTTTGTCCTAGTAATTCTACAGCATTCAATGTGTCTGTATATGCAGCACTGCATTTAGTAATGCTATTATCTCAATGTTGTGCTTTTTTTTTTGTGATAAGGTGCAAAAATGATGTATTTTCTGGACAAATCGAGGCAAGAAAAAGCAATTGCTGTGGCTACTAGATTGGATAAAAACATGAGAGACAAAAATGTGAAGGTAAAAAATGCAGTATTGAGAGAAGTGTGTAAAAGAATGTGTACTTAACTGAATGATAATATACATGCTTTATTTGTCATGATAAATTAATATTCAGAAGAGTGAGGTTTTTGAACTTCGGAAAAAGTTAATTATATCTAAATACCAACACAATACCTGTGTTTGTTCAGATTAGTAAAATTTAAAGGCATTAACAGTTATTAACTGTTCCTTTTCTTTCTGTAGACATTAACCAAGGTTTTTGAGGCACTGCTTGACGGCAGTTTTGGAAGTTGCCACACTCAATGTGAAGAATATCAAGCAGCCTGTCATAAACTGTTTCCTTTTACATCTGCCTTTATGCCTGCCACAAACGAAGATGATAGCAGCATTGCATCTGTGAATCATACAGCCATTAACCACGACTTACTGTCTAATGAAATATGAAGTAGCATATGCAAGCCCGTGTGTGTGTGCCTACATACCCACACACACATACAAAACTCTGACTGTCATTACATGCTGGCTGGATACGGATCAGGGTTACTTTTCCAGGTTGCATTTTAATATCTTTAACAGGTCTAAAATGAAATATTTGGTTAGCTGAATGAAATGGAGTATCCTGTTAGTTACTTTTTTTCCTCCCAACAAAAACTGCCAATATTTATGTAAACATGATCTTTAATCAGCATTTTTCATGTTTATACTTGTACAGTTTTAAGTCTTTTAATAATCCATCAGCCCTCCCTCACAAAAAGGAAAATGATGGATGTTAGACTGCTTTCACAAGTGTCATTGCATATACATATGAATGTGATCATATCCTGTTAAGAAATGATCTTTTGAGCATCTTTAGCAGATTAAGACAGAAGTGCTGCTTGAATGACCCTCTTCATCTTCTACTCTTGTTCTTGGGATTTTATTTTTTTTTACCTTTTATTTTTTAACCTTTGCTCAGTTTGGTTTCTTTTGAAGCACAGTGGATGTTGGCGGTTTGCATGTTTTTGTAAGGTGTGTGTCTCATGGAACCGGTGTTGATGGATATGAAGATTAGGTTTGTATGAAAACTAAGGGGTTTTGAAAACTGTATTCTATCTGCCTTGTGTTCCATAACTATTATTTCTTAAGTTTATGATCAGTTTAACGTTTTCTGTTTGAGTATTCTCAAGCAACTCCCTGAAAATGCAATGAATTTAATACTGTTGTCTGTTTTGGTTTTTTATTGTTGTTGTTCCATCTTCCCCTTCTTTCTCTCGCTTCTGATTTCTCCCCATCTGTTCACTTACTGACACTTAAGTTAAAAAAGCTGCTCCGATATTGGGTAAATGCATAAGGTACAGTAAAGGGGGATGCAGTTCCCCTCTACATCCTACAAATTCACTGCTAAGTTTACTGTATTACCTCCATTAGAAGTCTTAGTTGTGAATTTATGGCCAATATATCAGCACTTCTCCTGCCTAAACACTATTGCTGTAGGTGCTGCAAAGCAAGCAGTATGTGAGGAGTGTGTTTTATAGTTAAAAACTGTTCAAGGGAGCACGAAGAGGATGACTACAAATCACAATGAATCTTTTTCTTTATTCTGGTGCATTAACTATTAAATACACGACATGAAAATGGAAGTTTGAATCTAATATACCTATTTAAAGCATAATGCTGGACAAAATGGCTACATATGACAGCTTTACATTCTATAAAGAACTGCTATCAAAATATAACTATACTGTGGCTTGTACAGAAAATCCATTTTCTGGAAACTGTAATGGAATCATTCAGTCAGTTTTGTTTTTATTCCACTGCAGTGTAAATAATTTCAGTAATATTAACTAGCCCCTCTAAGGCAAATATGAATTCACGAAGAGGGGATTTTATTAAGACAAATAAACTGTTCTAATTAAAATTCTCTTTTGTGTGTCATCTATTTAGATTCAAAACTGTTGAATGGAAGACTCACTGTAAAATATTGCCAACATATGTTATGCTGTAATAAATTATTTTGTACACACTTGCCTTTGCTTTGGAATTCTTGTGTATTTATGGACATCAAACATCAGCCCAGCACACATTTGTTAATTTGTTTTCAGTTGCATGTTCACTGGTTTAACCCAAACTCTCGAAATAGTTGAAAAGTAATGGCTGTATTTATCGTATTGATGTATAATTCATATATGGTAATATGCTACCCTTAGAAATGCAGCAGGACATCTTTATGTTACGTATTCCCCATGCCGTTTCGCTGTTGAACAGCTTGTGTCTCAGGCAGGGAATGGTAACTGACCATGATGGAGTTGTTTTGGCTCAGCTGGCCCCTGGCACCACCTATCAGC